ATGGGCCATACTCTTCTATCCTGGATTGTAATTGGAGCTAAAAATAAAACTGTTAGACTAAAGTGAGTTTGTTATTTTAATTATCTGCACTAAATTTCTTCAGGATCTCATTAGAATTTCTAGAATGTGCCCTAGATTTAACAGCCAGCCAGCCAACATTGTTCAATAGAACTTTTCTGCAGTGATGAAAATATTCTATATGTGCACGTTAGTATGGTAGCCACTAGCCGCATGTGACTATTAAGCACGTGAAATGAGGTGAGTGTGAGGAACTGAATTTTTATTAATTTTAATTAATCTAAACTTAAATTATTACATGTGACTAGTGGCTGCCATAGTGGACTGCTCATGTTTAGATGTTCATGCTAATAAAACTAACAATTTTATATTTTATAGTTTATACCCCCCTCACCCCTTTTGGGTCATTTTACAAACTTCTCAAAATCTCGTATAAGCTAAAAAGAATACACTTGTGAATTAGATTAGGAAGTAAGATGAGTGATAGAAGTGCATGTAATTTGAGAGTTAACTAGATAATGCAGAAAGGGAGATGATAAAAAAATTTCAACCCAATTCTTGAGGTTATCTTTTGAACCATTATAGGCCTACTTTAATATGTGAACTATGGGAGGTAGAAAAACAGAAAATACAGTCCTTGTTTTCAGTAAATCTATATATTTTTTAAATTCATTTACTTTTTTATTGTGACATCCCCCCCGTTGCTATATTCCTGGAACGCCATGGCTGTTCACATATGCAAGCCCACTACTGGTCAGCATAGGAATTCTGACCTGTTCCATTTCTGACCTCGGTCAGTTCATCCTTTCTTAGGTAACCTGGTGGTCCCCACTCCTGGGAAGTCACTGTATTGATGCCAAACTTAGTGTAGACAACATGATTGGCATTACACACTACAGCCCAGAACTCCTAGGCTCAGGTGATCCTCCTGCTTCAGCCTCCCAAACAGCTGGGATTATAGGCATGTGCCACTGCCAGACCAATCAATAAATCTATATTTGACTGTAAAATGTATTTGGAATTGGTGAGTGACTGTGGGTGCAAATGATAGTCTAGAAAGAAATTCTCTTCAAAGGAAATGATAAAATCATCCTCATTTCTAGGCTTTCAGACCTACCCATATCCAAACAGCAAGTAAGTACTATGGGAGCTATAAACATGGCCTTTTTTTAGTAAAACAAATA